ACAAATAGAACAAAACTTGGGGGACCTGACCTGCTTCCCAAAGAGTCCTCCTAACCAGGGTTCTTCCCTGAGGAATAACTCAGTGGAGAATTTGTTGTTCATGTGTTTTGCTGATAGGAAGAATTCACTGTAGATGCTGAATTTGGACTTCACATATAAGTTCAGAGAACTTTGCACTGGAAGCCTCCTTTACATAAATTGAATAAACAGCTGTGGTTTGGATCAGCTATTTTTGCCTTGATCCTTCTCTCCTCCTCTTCATCTGTCCTGTGGGTGTCTCACCAACAATGAATGATCTTTACTGTGAGAGGATACTGCTTGGTAATGGAGGGTTCTGATGTCTATAGTTGCAAAGAAATAGTCACTGCCTTTTCAAAAAAAGTAAGAAGTAATGGGGAGCTGGGGTGGAGGTGGGAATCTAACTTGCTCCATACCTCATCTTCAGAGCACAATTTTTAGACACATTGAGCATCCCAAATTTTTCCACAATTCCTTCTAGAAAAACATCAGGTCTGAAAACCCCAAGGGGTATTTGCTCTTCAATGAGTATGATGAATGTGAGGTTTAGGAAGAGAAGAAAGGAAGGGGCTGAGTCACCACCATGACTTTCTTGTTACACTGGTAATGAGCTGGAACTTGATTGGGGAGCAGGAAACTCATGAGAGCTTTTTAGCTCAAAGAGTAAGCTGATATGGGGCCAGGCATTGTGGCACATGCATATAATCCCTGCAGTCAAGAGGCCAAGGCAGGAGGCTCACTGTGAGTTCTAGTCAAGTATGGACTACCTAGTGAGTTCAAGGCCAGCCTGAACTACCTGGCAAGACCTTGTCTCAAAAAAAAAAAGAAAAAAAGAATAACCCGATATGAAATGCATTGTAAAGAAATCACTCTGGCCACTGTGAAGGTCTCAACTATACAGACATTCTTCACTAGTGACCTATCTTCAACGACTATTCAGACTTACAACCAAGGAATACTGTTTGGATTTAGCAACACAGCAGTTGGACTTGTGACACCATTTTTTATATAGTTCTGTACATCTTGTTTAAAGAGCCTCAGTCATTTTTGGGCAGTATGCCTTGTTTATACAGTACTGTAATTTTTGCTGATTGCACTGTGCAGTATAGTGCTATCATTTTGTGTTCTGTTGTAATTACAATGTTGTATTAAGAGTTATACAAATAAAAGTAAAGTCATCAAGTTGGAGTTTTCTTTGACTATTTCTTTGTTCTGAATATTGTGACGTAAGTACCATACACAATTCTTCATTTAGCAACCAATTCATTTAACAGCCTAGTCATGGGAACAGAACTTGGTCATTAAACAACAAATATCTATATTTGTTCCCTTGTAGATTTTAAAGATAAGTGAACTCAGAGATTTGGCCAAGTAATAGCCTTTAACAAATGTATTTGTGGATACAAAACATCTTGTTCAACTAATCCTTCTGTTACTCTCATGTAGCAAAATCCCTTTTATACTGGATCAATTTAAGATACTCTAAGACTGAGCCTATTAGCCAATTTCCACCATGGCCAGTTTGAAGTCGTAAGTGTGAGAAATGCACAGCTGGGAAAACAGGTGCACGGTCAGCCTCTACCCCTCACCTTCACTTTCTAATTAGGAGATGGGACACAGCACACAGTCAAGTAAGCACTTGACAGGACAGGCACTGTTTGAAGGGTTTTATTTGCATTTAAGAAAATCAGTCTTCAAGGAAACCCAATGCAGAGGGAGAAATGAGGAAATTAATACACAGGTTGTCACACTTTAACCGTGGCCCAAAGACTCATGTATGGAGGGCTTGATTCCTCAAAGTAACATGTTCAGAAATGGGCTCCAAAGAGGCAAGTGAATCATGAGAGTGCTGACCGAATCAATGGATTTGTCCATTGATAAGTTCATTGTTCAGTGAGCTATTAGGAGGTGGAGCCAAGCTGGAGGAATAGTTCAGTGGGAGCAGACCTTGAAGATTATATCTGGTCTCTAGCCCCTTCCTCTCTGACTCTTTCTCTTCACTCTGTTTTCTACATACTGTAAGTTAAACAGTTTTCCTCCACCATGCCCTTCCACCATGCTATTTCTGCCTTGGATCCAGTTGACCATGGACTGAAACCTCTGCAACCATGAACCAAAATAAATATTTTATATTTTCTATTGACTTATGTCAGATATTTGTCCTAATGATAGAAAGATGACCAACACATGGGTGAAGTAATCAGTCCAATGTCACACAACTACTATAAGAGAGCTGAGATAAAGACAAACTTAAATGGTTTCCTCAGTATCCACGCTCTTAAAAACTACACAAAAATGGACTGGGGATGTAGCTCAACAGTACACCACTTGGTACAATAAAAAAAAAAAAACCTACACAGAAACATCTCTCTAAAACTGAACAATCTATTTTTTTTAACCAGGGATCAAATTCATGATCTTGCACTTGCCAGACGGGTGCTTGTGCCACTGAGCTATATCCCCAGCCAAAACTGCACAATCTAATAAAGTAGTCACTGGCCATTTTGAATATTTAAGCCTAACAAATTAGACAAAATTAAAAATTCAGTTCCTCAGCCATATTTGTTGTTCAATAATCATATGATATTAGTGATGACTGTATTGATCATCACAGATCTAGTTCATGTTCATCATTACAGAAAGTTCTAGGAGACAATAGAGCTCTAAAAAGATTATAAGAAAGAAAGAAGTCACCCTTGTTTGCTTGGAAACACAGATGGTTTAATAAGCTTCATTGACTGTTTTAGCATAAAAATTCAAAGACAGTTTCATGTCTCTTTTGCTCTGAGAGAAGCAAATTCACCCAATTGGTCATTCATTCACTTATTCTACACGCATTTACCGAGCACCTACACTTTCCCAGGTCTCTGGGAACAGGAAGATAAATAAAGAGGCACAGCCCCTACCTCCAGGAGCTCACAATCTGATGGAGGAGGTGATGTTTTTGAGTGACATTCTCAAGGAGGGGAAGGAAAAAGTCTCACTGAATACATGCAGAATTTGATGTGTTTTCAAAACAGCCAAGAGGATACACAGGGCTGGAGTCAAGTGCAAGATCAGAGAGTGCAGATGTGAAAGTCATCAGTCTCAAAGCAGCCATTATAGAAAGGGTCTGTCTAAGGTCAGGCAGGGAGTATTGCAGAGTAAGAAGAGAGTGAGTCAAGATCAGAGCCAACCCAAGGAACACTAACCCACTGCAGGCAGGTGGAGAAAGTAGTCAAGTAGAAGAGCCTGAGAAACATCAGAGAACATCCCAAGCTTACTGGGGCACAGAAATCAAGGTCAGGGAGTGTTATTCATGGAGAGATGGCAAATAATGTAAGGACTAACAACTATCCGGTACAGTTTATCTTGGTAAGGGCCATTTAGTGAAGGATCAGGAAAGGAAGCCATCTGCAGTGGGTTCTGAAAGACATGAAAATTGAGGACAAGCAAACAAATACTATACACCAAAGAATACCCAGCTATGAAGATTATGGTCCAAGAATCCTCTGCATATTTGTCTACTGCATTAAAGCATGTCGATGGTGGACAAAAGTCAAGGATTCAGGAAGGAGAAGGAATATTTACCAAGGTCTCAAAGACATAGGAGAGCAAAGAGTCCAAGGCACAGGTACAGAATTTAGCTTTGGTGGGAGAAGAAATACTCCCTTTCCATGGGCTAAGAAGGAAGAGAGGAAAGGAGGTGCACAGACACAGAGCACAGTTCACTAAAGGCAACAAATCTATGATGATGGCATCGGAGAAATAACGGGAATATGGGAGAAAGACCAGTGGGTAAACAGACACCAGTGACAAAGGGGCGGATGCTAAATAAGGGGACATGAATAACAATTTCATTGTGCTTGTTGGAACCCAGAGAGAAGATCAATACCGTCTTCACCTGTGGGGGGTGGGCTTGAAGAACTGTCAGAATTCCTACATAACATTCTAGAGAAGAAAGTATCCTCAGCAAAGAGCCAAGCGTCAGGCACATACTCTGCAAAAAAATGACCTATTTGCAGAGTTTTCAGCCACTGGACAGGGGTCAAAGGGAGGCAGTGTGTCACTCTGGGGATAAAAGGTGGAATAGGGGAGTTAACATTTTAGGCAGAGATAAATAAATATGGAGCTTGGTGGGAACAGTTGCCTTTAAGATGTTAAGTAGACAAAAAAAAGATGTTAGGTAGAGTTCTGGGTTCAGTGATAGGTCAGGGGTGTGTAGAAGTCTTGGTGACACCTCTAGTGTAAGGGTTATGTTCTAGAAGTCCCAAAAACTTTGATGAAAAGTCTGGTCTCAGAAGACAAGAAGCTATGCTTGGGATTGGTTGAGTCCCAAGAATTTTATTTATCAGATGGAAATCACAGCACCTCCCAGAGAACGAGGATAAATTTGTCACACTTCTAATGAGGTCCTAACTCAGGTAAGAAGACTTCCTCTGGTGCAAATAGCAGAACCCCCAGGCAATGTGCAGAAAAGGAAATTAAGCAAGAGAAGCCAAAGCGAAATCTGCTGCAGCCATGATCAACATGCATGTGTGTTTCACCCTGAAAAGATTCACTCTGGAATGACTTCTTTAGTCCCTCCTAGGCTAATGGCCAGAAAAATGTCAGATATTTTGGTAAGGGTCACATCCAGACACCCACAAGGCTCAGAGATGAGAGCGAGGAAAGGAGACACTCATTTTCTTGTGTATTCAAGAATTATTTGTGTATTCAAGAACTCCACATCTGCCAGAGGAAAGTGGGTATCACCAACTCTAGTCTTCTCAATGCTGAATGTTCTAGACCATGGCTGAGACCAACAGCCCCAGAGACATCTGCATAGACAGGGGAAGAGCCAATGGGACTCCAAGGACCTAGAGTCACCCTCAAACTGGATGTCACCCTTTCCATGACTACCCCACTGCACACGCGCACACAACACATGAACAATACGTACCAGACACACACCCTTCTCTGAACTACCCCTCTTGCCATACAATTCACCATTGCACATGATATCACATTATGTTTTCATTGTTTACTTTTTATCTCCAATTATATTTGTGTTCCTTTATTGGGTTCTGGGATGTAGCACCCAACAACTACTTATACAAAGAGTTCTGCAAGAATGAGATAGAGTTAAATCGTATTAAAATAAATTGACTTGAATCAAAATGACACTGGGGATCAAGGGCGGTGCATCGCCTCAGCTGCAAGATGGAGAATTACTCTGATTTCTTCGTCAAGAGTCTCTTCACAGAACCACCAGGTCCAGATTTCTCCCCAGCCCCCAGCCACATCGCTCCCCACCTCGGGTCCTCACTGCTTCTTATGGAACAAAGCTGGGGCTGGCTCACTGCTCGGCTCGGCCATGACCTGCATGGGCTGGTTGTTGAGGGCAGCCTCGCGCATCTTGTGGTACATGAACTCATTCTGGCGGAACATGCGCAGCTCCATCTCCGTCTGCACCCGCATGGCCTGAGGGACACAGATGCATCATAAATGGTGAGCAGAAGCCCCCCACGACATGCTGACTCCTGACTGACCTCAGAGCAAATGGGCCCTGTCAGTGACATTCGACTTGCCCCTCAGAAGACACACACACACACACACACACACACTGCACAAACTCATCCACTGCAGGCTTGGATCTCAGCAGTGGGTCATTTGTAAGGAAGAGGAAGTCAGACCTCTGAGACCGTAGCTGGATTCATGGTTCCCAACACAACAATTTTTTTCTCATAAATTTTCAAGTGGGCACCTAGATTTAAACACTGGCTCCTGAACTTACTGGTTGTGTGACTTCAGGCAACTGACATAGCTACTTCCCCTAGTTTCCTTACCCATGCAGATTCCTTTGTGCTCTCCAGTGGACTGGGAAGATTGTACTGTGTGGCACACAAAAAACTTCTTGTTCCTATGAAAATGTGGCTCGGTGGCCCAGGTCAGAGTCCCAGCTCTCACAGCCATAGGAACATTTACTGAGGGCCATGTGTCGTTCGGGAACTGAGGCCACCATAGTGAATAAGACAGTAATTACACTGCTTGGACAGCTACTACGCTAGATGTAAAGGTGGTTCCCTCCATCTTCCTGCCCCTATGTGGTCGCCTAGGCTTTGAAGGCCTAATACATTGATTGTGTATTTTTATTGATAAGGAAATTGGGGACATAGGAAGGAAAAGAACATTCACATCTGAGAACAACTGATCTTAAATGTAATCATTTCAATACACATTTTAACACCAATATCTCTCTGCTTTCCCTGGGTTACACTATATGAGGACAGACCTGTCATTCCCAAATAAACCAGTACTGCAAAGCACAGAGGAGAGCAGCAGCTATAATGATCATGTAACTTGCCAGCCACTTTAGCTCACTGCAGCTCCCCACAATCTTACCTTCTCCCTTCTTATTGCCAATGCACAGACTGAGGCACATGCAGTCAATAGTTGCAAAAATCACAAGGCTAAAAATCTTTACAAGTGAAAATTGAATCCTAGTGATCAAATTCCAGACTCCATTCTATGGAGAATATTTTCTAATATGAAGGACTGCACACACAGACACACACACACACACACACACACACACACACACATAAACACACTTGCACACTGCTGTTCAGTTTCCCTGCCCAGGCTCAGGGTGACTGATGCAGCAGACTCAAGGTTTGAATCTCAGCTTTGCTATTGACTCACTAAGTAACTATAGACAGACTATTCCCATTGCCTGAGCCTCAGTTTCCTCATGTGTACACAGGAAGAGGCGGGCTAAGGCAGGTCTGAACCCCTCCTGGTCTAGCTGGCTATCTGTGGGCTTCCCTCAGTGAAGTCCAGCTGAGCGAGGACTTATCCTCAGATAGCTCAGAGCAGGAAGGGAGTGCCCCGCCCTGAGCTGCTACTTACCTCTAAATCCTTGGTGATGGGGTGGGAGGGTCCATGTGTCACTAGGAGAATGGCATAGGCTTTGCAGATCATCCCGTGCCCCACCTCGATGTTACCAGCATGCCAGTTGGTTAGCCCTGCCCGCATCACAGCCATGCCCAGTTGGGCATTGTTGGGGTGGTACAGCTTCCTGAAGGGGCACAGAGAACCATCATGACCATCCTTGTACTTGTACATTATTTAACAACTTCTAAAGTGCCCTGATTGCTTAGGTCTGTGTGTTCTTCATCTTGGTGCTGTGAGGCATCTGCCTGCTGGAGGAAGGGGAGACTGAGGCACAGAGTACCAACACACAACACTGCAGTGAGGCTGTGAGATCTGGGGCTCTGGCCTGGGCCATTATACCTTGTCCTCATAAGGAAAGGATCCCAGATGGCACTCTGAATGTGATCCCCAGAAGGTGGCATCCCTCTGGAGCACTCAGCCTCCCCCACACAAGTCATAGGAAGCCCTGGAGAAAACTAACTTGACATCCTTCTTGGAGCAGCACTGTACTTTCACTGCAGGGCAGGGCCCCCTTCTACCATGCTGCACTATTTGCCTACATTTTTTAAAATACAAGTAACGTTCTAAAAAAGAAATGCAACCTCTCGGGTCAACTTGCTCACTTACCCAGAAATACAAATTGGCCTATCCACGTGGATACAGTGAATATACAAGAGGGTTTAGTGGCAGAGACGATAAGGAAACTGCATTTATAACTTATAAGCAAGAATGACTGATCTATGCTTTTTCTTCTGTCCCTCTTTCCCCATAAGTAAGCAAACAATAGACAGAAAAACATATTCCAAGCACTTAGAATCAAGCTCCATTGTGAGGTTCCATATGCACCGTCAGCACTCTGGACTCCGAATCAAGCTGCATGGAGCCTTAAAATGATCAAGAGCAGACGATGCCACCCAAGTGATAAATGGAGATCTAGAAAGGACCAAGGATGACACACAGGCTTCATCTCAAGTGCCAACTCAGTTGTTTCATGACGACTGCTCAGAGCTTGTGGATTTAAAGAAAGAAACCATGTGTGACCACTGGTCTCTGTTGTGGGTGTAGCAGGAAGGGTTGCAGCTTCTATTTGCTGTCCCTGAAAGAGATGCACACCCAGGAAACGACTGGAGCTCTGCGGTCATCACCTACATGTAGCCGTCCACCATCCTCCTGGCGTAGTGCGCGGCCTCCCCAAAGGCCTGGAGGTAGGAGAGGACCTCGGACACCACGCTCAGCATCCGCAGCGTGTACAGGTTGGTGTCGGCAAACACCGGCTCCTGCTTCTCCAGGCACTCCCGGCACAGCTTCACGACCTAGAGATAGAGAGAGACAGAGACAGAGACAGAGACAGAGACAGAGACAGAGACAGAGAGGCAGAGAGAGAGGCGCTGCCCTTCGCCACTGCGCCTGCACACATCGCGCTTCACGCAAGGAAGCAGCATAGCTGCCCTGGGCGGGTATTTGGTCTTTTGGGATTGGGGAAATTCCTGGCATTGGTGGGAAAGCAGGGTTTGAGAGCTGAGTGGCAAGATGATCCCATCTGGCCAAGATATAGGAATGGAAACGGTAATGATGAGACATTAGCAGTCAGTAATTAGTAGGAGCAGGGAAAACTAAATTAAAAATAACGGGACATATTATAGTAACTTTTTTGTTGTCCTATTAACCTGACTTGAACCCCAGTATTGCTCTCCCCATCTTGTTCTGATTATTATATATTCTATTTTGTTTGATAGTATCAAGTTTGAGGGTATAGGCAATCACTTTGAAGGCAGTAAGATATACTATGATGCCCAATATGGATTATTATCCTTTTTTTGAAGTCCTGTAAGGTCCTCAGTGTAGGTTTTGTTCTGTACTGTTTTGATCAATTCTATTATACCTGATGATATAGACAACTCAATTTAAAAATAGCAAGAGGCACAATGGTAACCACTCTTGATCACCTGGTATTCTATTTTTGCATAGTGTCTATGCCCACCCTTCTGTTCTAATTGATTCTGTTTTGCTTAGTCACATTTGGTTTTATTCTCTTCAAAAAAGTAATAAGAACCGTGAGAGTAATAAAACTCTAAAAGTCTAATTGTTACTGTGAAAAAGAAAGGAAAGTAAGGTAGACTAAGGGTTATAACCGCAGGTATGTTCGAGTGTGTAGGATGGAAAACCATATAACTGAGCTTTTGTTGGATCATTGAACGGAACTGTCTCCAATTTCACTGTATGAATGTCCACTTTATATGCTTTAATTTAGTGATATGGATAACTGTTTCTTGGAAGATAATATGTAACCTATTAATTGGTGATTTCATACTATATATATTTTTTTCTTGAAATACTGTATTATTTGTACCCTTTTACAATATTGTTTTTTTATGTCCTTTCTTTTTTTCTTCTCTCTTTAAATAAAAAAAAGTAATTAGTAGGAACTATGAAAGCTGTATATGCATGTATGTGTATATAACTACATGCAAATATAGGTATGTGTATGCAAATATAGGTAAATAGATGCTTCTCCTCACATTAATGCAATCACATAGGATTTATTAATATTCTCATTTTATCAGAGGAGGAAATTGAAGCACAGACAAGGCTGGAACTTTGCCTAAGGACGCAGATCAAGGATTCAAACCAAGCTTTTGACATCCTATGCACTTGATTCCTGAGATTCTCTACCTTGACTGTGACATGGAGCAATCTGGAAAGCTTTCTAAAAACACAGATGTTCAGGCTGCAGCCCACACCAGTTGGAACCAGTTAGTGAGGAGAGAGATGTTGGGTGTGCAGTCATGCAGCCCCCAGATAGTCCTTCAGCACAATGGAACTGGATAGCCAGGCTCTGTTAACTGTGTTCAGAGAGTTGGGCAGGAAGAGGTTCCCACGAAGCTGGAAGACCCACCAGGAGGACGCTGCCTTGGACCTGGGGAGAAATAGGATGCTTTTCCCCGATCTGGTCCAGGTGTAGATGTAGGCTTTGGTTGCACCCTACAAAGATGAAGGGTCTCCAGGTTTCAGGCATTCATTGTTCTCTTCCTCCTCCCTTGATGCTGTCATGGGAGAAATGCCCCCAGATCCTTTCCATCTTAAAAGTAATCATTTCCTGAGACTTCCCCAGGGCTCCGGTGGGAACAGGTTGGGGGGTGGCAAAATGTGGGCTCTCGAACAGCTCATTCTGAAGAAAATCCTCTTCCATCCACGGGGACAGTGTCCAGCCCCTTACCTGGTTGCACCAACTTCAAATGAAATGAAGAAGAAAGTAGGAGAAGAAGAGAAGCCAGGGAAATTGAATTTGTGAAGTCCTCTTCTTCGCAGCAGCAGCTCCTAACCCACACCCTTGACAGAGACTTTCCATATTGTATGATAACACTTTGTTCATGTGGCCGTCTCTTTACCTGACAGAGCTCTTAGCAGGCAAGGAGCACGTTTCATGTTGGTCACCTCCGCTCATCCATGTGCAATGAATGATTTAGGAAAGGAAGTGGGGGAAAAGCAAACAGAAATGAAGAGATGCTAACTTCTCAGATTGGCCTGTGCTAGCAGCATCCAAACCTGCCTACACTCCTGAGTCACTTAATCAGCTTGGGAAAGAACACTGCTTCCTGGTCCCTGTGTGCTGGTGCAGGTGGGATGAATCACATTGTAGGGGTTGAATGGGAATTGCGTTTCAACAAGCTGCCCAGCTTAATTCAAAGAAATTTCTTTGCAGGCTAGAATTTGGCTCTGTCTCAGCTTTGACTGCATGCTGAAATCATATGAGGGCTTTAAAATTCCTTGATGTCTGGGAACCCTTTACAGAGAGTCTGCTGAAATCATCTTGAGTTGGGGTCTGGTCCTTAGGATTTTCAAAGGCGATTCCAGTGTACAGCCAGATGAAAATTCCTATTGTTTTGATTCCTATTGTTTCAAGCATAGGCAGGAACTGTAGTATGCAGGCATTCAGTTATGAGAAGGTAAGCAACCCACTCCCAGTGTGTCGGACTGCCATGCTTTCATCTCTGATGCCACCTGAGTTGTCACAGATCCTCCAGGTACATTGATCTGGCTGCCCTTGTGCTCCTTAAAGCCCACTTTTAATGGACTGAACCGTCACTGAGAAGATGGCTTTAACAGGTTCAAAGTCCAAGGACAAGAAATGTCACAGTCTCAACCTAAAGACATCTTCCCAAAGAACATCCTGCCCTGCCCTGAGGCCTCCCCTTCCTCCTCCTACTTCCCTCCTTTACTGGAGAACATTTGGACACCTTCCCCATCCACTCCGAAAAGTGAATTCTCACCTCATGATACAAACCCTCCGATCGAGCTTTGTCTATTTTTTCCAGTGTATCTTTCGAGAATTGTGTCATCTCCTTCACCACTTCTTGAGAGGGCTGGGGAAAAGAGGGACAGTAAGTTATAGACCCCACAACGAAGCAGCCTGTTCTGTCTCTGAATAGCTGCTGTCTTTGACATTGAGTACTGTGCAAGTTTATGCCGGGTGAGACCTGCATGCCTGCTTCGTGCACTGTCCTACACCACCTCCCTAAGGATTTGGGCCCGCTGACAGGTGGTGAAAATCCCCCTTGTCTGGCTCCTGGAGAAGACAGTGACAAACACCCAGCAGTAGGAGTGTGTGTACCTTGGGGTCCTCTTTCACCCCCAGGAAGAGGTCATCCTTCAGCCCTTTCTGGCAGTGCTCACATGTACAGTCAAAGTAGTACTGCTTCTTCAGCTGCCTCTTGCGTTCTTCGCTGACATTGAGGAAGTCAATGTAGGACACTGTCAGTTCCTCTCCTACTGAGATCTTGCCCAGGGCCCGGAGCTCAATCCTGGAGCAGGGTGAAAGAACCAGAATCAGGGGGACCCAGGCCTGCCAGCAACACGTTAGTGCTTTCCACACTTTGAGAAGTTAAGTCAAAGACAGCAACTTCCCCTAGTGCTCTGAGAAATTTTCCATTCCCTCCAAACAGGGGAAACGTGACCTATAGCCCAGTTTCGTAGGTTACTCCACTCCACTTAGTAGAACAGTCAAATAGGCACCACTCAGTTCATTGTTCTGCAATCAGCTCTGCAGGGCTGGTAGGATAAGGAAGCAATTCCACCCTCACTAATCCCTTTACAGCGTGTGATCTCATAACTCAGCTGTGACTCATTGGTCAAGCAGATTGCAATGCAGTGATTTTGGCTCCCATTATGGTTGAGCCAATTCTTGCAAGATCTCCAAGTATCTCAGATTATTTAGAGTTCTCACAACCAAATTAATTGCATGACACTGAAATATGAAAAGTGCACCTGTGTCTACTTTGCTTTACATTACAAATGTTCCTCAACTTTCAATGGGGTTATCACCTAATACCTTACCTAGGGTAAATTGAAGATATCAAAAGCCAATATGCACTTAACACATCTAATCCACCAAACATCATACCTTAGCCTCATGTTAAATGCCACAGAACACTTACATTAGCCAGTAGTTGGGCAAAGCCATGTAGCACAAAGCCTAGTGCTAAATATCTCATGTAACTTATTAAATGCTATATTGAAAGTGAAAATTGAATAGTAGTATGGGTAAATACTTGCAGTATCATAATGTAAAAAATTACAAATCAAAATATCATTATTTAGAGACCAACTATATTTGTAACTGAAGTTTGAAGGATAACAGGTGGCTAAAATAATAGCTGCAGAAGAACTAAAAAGATGAGTTTTAATACCAGCTCTTCCTCTGTCCAGCTTCCTTGGATATATTATATCCCTACCCAGATCTTCTCCATCTCCAACATTCTGCAATTCAGCTAACTGAGCCACGGTGGGCAAGTTATTCAAACGTTTCTTGCAGAGAATAGAAACAGAGCAAAAGCCATGGAGACCCAGTGCTAGGAAGGTGGGCAGAGGCTCTCCTCCAGACTCCACCCTCCAGATGTGAGCTCCGAGCCCAGCAAATGATGTAAATTATCCAAAGTCAGGTGCTGTGCACACCAGCAGACACAGGTGCACCGACCACTCCCACCCCTCACTCCCAAAGGCCAAGTCCCACACAGAACTTTGTTCTCAATCCAAAAATCAGTTTAAAAGTTTTCAGGCCTGGGGCTTGGGATTTAGCTCAGTGGCATAAACACCTGCCTGGCAAGTACAAGGTCATGAGTTCAATCCCTGGTACCAAAAAAAAAAAAAAGTTTTCAAGCCAGCCTGAGCAAAAAGACCATCTAGAGCAATTTGATTGGCATTAAGAAAAGTAAAAAGCCAAAGTAAAATTTGACCTAAACCATGAATTTATAGTTGGCTATATCGCTTTTCACCCTTTTGGCTAAGAATGCAGTATACTATAAGTAGTGAACAAATACTATGAATAAATATTTATCAAAATATTGCGGTTAAGGGTGCTATTTCTAGAACCCAGTCTGGATGAAAAGTTGGGGTTATAAACACTCAGTCCTTTAATAGGTCGGTGACAACAACTGTCCTCATTTTGTGGTGAGCAGGATTTAGGGTTTAGAGGTGCAGTGCAGGTTTTGGCTAAGAGGCTGTGAGTTAGCAGGGTTCATGCTTTGATGTAGGCAAAGTAGGAAAAGTGGGGAGTGAAAGGGAAGAAGAGAAGAAAAGGCAGGAGCTGAGGAGGAAAATGGTTAGTTTAAATGCTTCACAAGTAAGCCATTCAATCAAGATGAGACACTGGCATGCAGAAGGAAAATGGGCCAAGGCGACTTGGGCAGGGGCAGTCCCAGCAAACCAGGGAAAGTGAGGGGGATGGGTCAGAGCAGCAGAGGTGCTTGGAAAGCCTGACCCACCTCATCTGGGTGTGAAACATGGATTTCACTGCCTCATGACTGAAAGACAAAACAGACACCCGAGTGGAAATCAGTACCATTGGCTGACAAGTGCAGCTAGCCAGACTGCACAGCATTCCGGTTACAAACCAAAGCTCTGGCCGTCACACGGCCTGTATCCCAACCCCTTCAAGCTGGGCTCGCATAACAGGGCACCGCCTAGAGTAGTGAAGAGTGCACCGGATTTGGCATAAGAAGCTCTGGGTTCTATTCCATAGGCCTCAGGGTCTCACCTGTCACCCGATAATGAGACTGTCAATGCATTTAAAAGAACAGCACTGAGAAACATATGGGAGCTTTTACTACTGCCCGACTCCGAGGCATCCCAATGGAAACACTACCTGTTTTGACGACTGTCCTGGGAAGAGTTTGAATTGCATATTGAGGCTGGTTAGAGCACCTGAGTACTATGTAAATGGTGAGGGTTAGCATCCGGGACTTTTTCCAGTATGGCAGCTAGGCAGTGACCACAAAGACATCTTCTTTTGCACAAAAGCCAAGAAGCCCAGGTAAGACAGGGCTGCTCAAAATTAGTGGATGCCAGCAAGCCAACACAGACACCAGAATGACCAAAGACAGTGTTCCCAGGCAGGTGCCGTAATTGTTATTCATAGTGACACTAGGAGCCCTGGGTCACCATCACTGAGGGAGAACCATCTGGAAAATCAGGCCCCATGTATGGCAAAATAATGATGCTCTCTACCGAGCCTGGTCACAAGGCCCTCTGGGAGGATTCCATGAGGTACAGGCCAGTGACCCCAAGAGGTTTAGGAAAAGAAACACAAGTGCTGGGAAAATGTGACCATCTGGGTATAAAATAAACTTTCCCATGTTGAGCTTCTTTCTCCATGGCCTAAAGCCCCAATGTCAGAAATAGGAATGAAAAGCAAAATCATTGCTATGTGGAGGCTTAGGCCAAGTTCTCGTCTGAGAATGAGAAGGCATTGTCTCAGCTTCTAGAAAGTTTCTGGGGAGGACTCTGCCCGTTGTTGATGGCTCAGTGTAGGCTTGCATCTGTCAAGAGAGCTCATCTTTAAAAGCAAAAGCAATTAATACTATTCAGGCCTCATCCCCAATCTACCCAATCTGTGCCGTGGACAGCTGAGCTCACCTGCTGATTCTTCTCCATGCATGCCCCACCACTGAGATATGTTCTTTACTCTTATGTCACTGATCTGTCCCTTTTTGGGGACACAAGGCTAAACTTGAATTCTGAAGGATGCATCACCCAGATTCCTTTGCCCTCTGGCCTCTGGCTGGGGACTGGCCAAGGGGAGGAGATGAAAATGTTTCAAGAGAAAAAGATTGGGACATTTGGACCATGGTTTGACCAGTGATTGGTTTGTCTACAGGCACAATTGAAAGCCACAGCAGAGGGGTATCTGTCCACAGTTCAGACTCTCACAGGTTGTAGGGGAGGCTTCCTCTATGCATCCCTCCAAGGGTAGAGGTGGTACTACCTCCCAGTGCTCTGGGTGCTAGACACCTAGCACATCTAAACAGTCTGAAAGTACACGTCAAGACTCAGAAATGACCCATGTGGAATCTTTTGATGTATGCCTTGATACCTTTCTCTATTTATTCTATATCAAGATTCCAATTCACTCCACACTGGAAACGCACAGTAGAAAACAAATCATACAGTCTCCCCAGCCCTATCTCACACACCAGTTAAAGACATACTCACTTGCCATTGTTGAATATGACTGTGCAGTTGGGCCAGCAATCATGGTTTACCAAGCCCAGGTTGGGAAAGATGCCCACACCCACTGCCTGTAGGCCTCTCTGGTCACTGAGCGTGAAACCATTGCAGTTGATCTGCCCAGAGGAAAAGATGAGGGTCAGGTGACTGACAGAAACAAAAGACAGAACTTCATCCCAGTGTTGAAAGGAGTATGTTAAAAACGGGCTCTGCTTAGAAAATCTGGAAACAGTCTTCTGTTCTCTATGTGACTCCAAATCACACCCACAAAAAATTACACAAAATTTCTACCTCATATATAAGCACATACATGAATACATGTGCAAAACATAAATATGATGCATAACAAATACAATATACAATTATGTACTCCCATGGCATTTATTATAGATATGAAGGGGGGCCACTTTCTCCACTTATTTTTACCAGACATTTACCAAATGCATGATGGAAGCACGTGAATGCCACTAACACATTGTTATCTCAACAGAACTTTTTCTGCTCTGAGCTCCAGTTTTCCCATCTACAACCCCTACAGGATTGCAGGTGAACTCGATGATCTCTAAGGATCTTCCCAGATCTAAGCTTTGTGTGTGCTGTGTGGTCTTTAACAAGAAGGCTAAAAGCATGAACCTCACTTTCTGTTGTGTAACGCAGTACTGGAAGCTGTGCATTTATACATCAACATGGCGGGGTCATGGTGCCCCAGTATCTTATGTGGTCAAACCTTATTAAGTATGCTTCTGTGGAGTTGTTTTCTGGCTGAGATCGGTGTTTAAACTGATAAACTTTGAGGAAACCCAAACACCCTTCCCAATGTTGGTGGGCTTCATCCAATCTGTTGAGGACACAAAGAGAATAAAGCCCAACCCCTCTGGACAGAAGGAGTTTACAGCCCTTCTCCAGGTGTCTAGCCTCCACAATTACAGTTACAAGAGCTAGTGCCTTAACCTCTCTCTCTCTCTCTCTCTCTCTCTCTCTCTCTCTCTCTCTGTGTACATGCATGTGCACACATGCATACACTCCCAGCTCCAAAGATGCTGAATGAGGTCATTGTTGTTATTACAAAATCCTTGCTCCTTGTCCTGATCACCATCACCACAGAAGGGGCATAATCCTCCATCTGAAAGCATCTAATCCCCAAAATCCTTAAGCCTGAGACCCAAGCCTTCTGCTCCAGGGCTCCCACCTCCACCTTCTTGACCGTACTGGCCTCAACTGGCTTTGTGACCTCCCTGTCACAAGCTCACACACCCACCCCACCTTGCCCCCCATCAGTCCTGCCAGGTACCCATGGGGGGAAAAAGTCTTATTTACAAAGTGACTGGTGGGCAGGACAGGATGAGAATCTGGTCTTTGTTATCACTATGGACAAGAGGCATTTAGAAAGTGTAGATAGGAAGACAAATTACCATCTAAATGCACCATTCCAACATGACAAATAACTTGGTCATGGGTACGGATTCAGCTAGGGCAGGAATAACTTCATAGTAAGGTCAGAAAGAGTGCATGGGAGAGGCCTTTATTTTAAGCTTGGTCTCCCCAACTGACTCTGGCCTGGGCTTCTGGGAATCTCTCAGCTGGACAGCTTCCTGTGTCACTATCCCCTGTTCTTTATGGAGAACCATACAGGAGGATCTCTGGGCTTTTTAATGGGGTCATTTAGGGGTCTGTCTATGGATTCAGCAGGGAGGGGCACAAGTGGATCTGCTGCAGCTGGTAAGTAGTGGGCGGCCTGCACCAGCCTGTTACCTGGGCTCGACACAATCACCATGGAAAAGGAAGTCACTGGGCAGATGAGGCCATTGGCCTAGGAGAAGGCCCAGCCTCCTCCCAAAGCAGGAGAAGGAGAAAGAGAGGATGTCAGGGGGGGCACTGGAGAAGGGGAGCAGGCCATACCACTCCGAAGATGTGGGAGATGTACTGCATGCTGAACTGCTGGCTCTGGGGCGGCCAGTACTGCAAGAACGTGTCCACGTCCACCCGCAGCTCCTTCTGCTCCTCCTCCCCAAAGTGCTCCACGTGGTTCTGCAAGTCATCCACGGACACCAAGCAGCCCTCGGTGAGCCCGGTGCCCTCTCTCTCCACCCGCCACATGATGCGGGCCGCCAGCCTAAGGAGAGGGACAGTGTTACCCGTTCATTCATTCATTCAGCAGACACTGGGTGCCTAGTGCATTCTAGGTACAACGTCAGATCCTCAAACTAGACAGATGAATCTTCCTCTATCATGACGCGTCTCATATATGGGGAGATAAAAGTAAACAAGATCATTTTAAGTAGTATTAAATGCAGTAGGGTGCAATGCACCCAACCAAGTAGGGTGAAGCAAGACAGGCCGAGGGAGGGGAAGCCAAAGTGGACAAGAGGAGTCATGGAGCCAGGACATTTGAGCAGGAGCTGGAATGGACAGAGGAGCCAGCTCTGTGGGGCTGGGGACAGAGCAGTGAGTACAGAGGCTCTGAAAAAGGAATGACTTTAGCACCACAGACAAACAGCCAGAGGGTCCCAGTGGCTGGAGCCCAGGAGCAAGGAGTGGAGAGCAAAAAGGGCTGGAGAGTCCAGCAGGCGCCAGGTGACACAGGATCTGGGGACACCAGGAAATGCAGCAGCCTGGGTCTCTCCCGACAGTGTGGCTTCCTGGATAAGTGCTAGATAAGGTGTCTAATGACCTTTCCATGTCTTCCTCTTTCCATGTGTGGCATTAAGCAAGTCGCTTGACTTATTTGAACCTATCTAATGGTTAGTAAAATAAAGCTAATATTCTCTGCCATATACTCTAGGGGTACTAAAGGCAACGTGAAGCCATGTACACCCACATCATGTGTGATCTCCTCCTCTTCCTCTTCTCCTCCTCTTGCTCTTCCTCCTCTACCTTTTTTTCTTCTTTCCTTCTTCTTCTTTTCTTGTGACACTGGGGATTGAACCCAGGGCTTTTTCAATGAGCTACATCTCCAACTCTTTCTTTATTTTTAATTTTGAAACAGGGTCTCACAGAGTCACCAATTTGCCAAGTTCAGTCTTGCAATCCTCCTGCCTCAGTCTTCCAGAGAGCTGGGATTACAGGGTGTGCCACCACACTGGACCTGGTCTTATTCATATTTATAATGATTGAGTAGAAAGTAGAGACAGCCATCCCGGTAAAGAAACCTCTTAAGCAAAGGCCTAGAGCGGCCCGGGGTGTGGGCCATGCAGAAAGCAGAGAAGGTGCTCTGGGAGAAGACAGGGAGGTAAAGTGAGGCAGAAAGGGGCCCTGGGGACCCCGAGTGTGACCAAAGGGTGTGCTTTACCTTGAGGGTGTCTGTGTGAACCCTGTGGGTTCAGCTCTGACTCAGACACCCTGAGGGTGTCTGTGGTCCCTTCCCACAAAGCAGCTCCTATGACTGGAGGTTTTGGTGCCACCCACCGACCGCACGCTATCCAAGTGCCTGAGAGGGGCTGATGGCCAGGGACAGTCTCTGGCCCTGCAAAAAGACGCCTCCCATCCTTGACAAAGCACAGGCCTTTCTCATCTCAGTGGGTCACAGTTATTTCTAAAGAGATGTCCCACTGAGGTCCCCAGGTGCGCAGGAATCAGGATGTCCCCCACCAGAATCACCAGGAGAAAGAGGTTCAAGATAAGGTAGAGGACAGATCTGTTGCTGCCCAACCCTGGAGAAATGGCTACCGACCTCAGACAACAGAGGCCAGCTGGAGACAGATTTCAGAAGAAACTGTCAGTGAGATTGTGCAGGCAGGGCATTGAGTGCATGTCTCAGGAGGTGACAGTTACTCTGGATCTTGAAGAGCAGGTAGAGACAGACTGGGGAGGCCCCTGGGTCACTTCATCCTGCAGTTTCCTGAAAGCCCCCAGGACACAGCATTCTATTCTGAACCTAACTGCACCCTGCCCCAGCAGTGCAAGAATGCTCTGTGTCATCCCTCCTCTGCTGCCCGCTGCAGCTTCCTGAGCAGCTTCCTGTGGCCCAAGACTGGGTCCCACAGGCTGAGCCTCCAGGACTGGGAGCCACATGCTGGCCCTGAGACTTCTGGCAATCGTCACTGTGGAAGCCACCAGTGTCACAAACCCAAACGTCCCTGTTGAGTGCATGTGACTAAGTATAGGATCATAGCAGGGAGTGCTGGCATGGTAGCACACACCTGTGATGCCAGCCCTCGGGAGGCTGAATCACAGCAACCTCAAAGCCAGCCTGAACCACAAACCAAGACACTGTCTTCAAAATAAATAAATAGGTGCTACTGAGCTCCAGCGCATCTTGTCACTTCTTGTTGTTTTGAGTTTTTCTTTTGTTTTTTCCAAGGTGAACCAGAAACCTTATTTTAATATAAAAATGTTAAAAGCTGAATGCTCAGGGACCTCACAGGGCATCATGATCGCCATCCCAAGTCACCCTCTCCGACCTGAAGGAGTGACCGTGACCACTCTCAGCTCTTTCCCCATTTGCTCTCAGCCTGGCCTCCTCTGGGCTGGCACTGCTGTCCCTGCTGCCACACTCCCCCCGACCTGTGAGGGTCCCAGCTCTGACCTGACATTCTCGTTGGGCACCTTCCCATATCTCTTGATGGCAGAACACTCGTGCTTGTGGTTCAGCCAGGCATCCTTCTGGCAGGTGCGGTCACAGTAGTGGGCAAACTTGCACTGCCCGCAGCGATGGAGCTTCTCCTGCCTCTTGAAGCAGGTGTGGCACACAAAGTTCACCAGGCTGGAAAGGCAGGGGCAGAATGCAGGCTCAAGGGTGGGCATCTTAGGCCATTTACATTAATCTAGATGAACAGTAAAGAAAAGAGGTTTATCTTGGACCACACTTCAGGTCTGCATCTGGCAGTGCCCTATGGTGGGTGACACGGGACATCACAGGGTCACAGACAAGCAACACAGGCATCTGTGTGCATCTCCTCTATTCTCTCCCTCTTCTTCTAAAGCCACCAGGACTCAATTATGGTGACTCCACAGCAATAACCATATCGAATCCTAATCACCTCCTACAGTCCCCACCTCTGACCGCCATAGTCAAGTTGGCCCCATCCTTTACTACCTCATCGTGGAGGCTAAATCTCTTGGGCAATGCACACAAGCCAGTAGCCACATCACAGCAGGGGACACGGCAGGAAGGACTCGGCTCTCAATGGGCTGCTCCTGGTCTTTCTAAACTTCAGGTTCCCACTTTTCAAAGTAAAGGGATCTGGGCTCGAGCTCCCAAAGTTCCCTTCAAGTGATAATTGGTCCTTTCATAGACATTTTTAAGTGATCCTGGTGTGAAAAATACTATCACCCTCTGTAGACTGGCCACTTAGTTAGCTCAGCACGGGCCCTGGGAACCCCACAGGGTGCCTACAAAACAACTGTGCGCCTGTGGTCACTGCTCAGGGTGCTGAGTGCCTGCAAGAGGAGCACAGGCTGTTCCTGGGAGGAGCCCCAGAGTCTCCTGGACTCATGGAGTGCACTGAAGCTCCTCACAGGTCCCTTGCCAAAGGCACTGCGCCACCAACATGCGTTGGGAATGTGTCAGGAGAGGGGCATATTGTGTGTCACATCCTTCTCATGGTAATGACAAGGTTATTGATGTCATCTGATGTGCTCTTCCAGCTCAGCCAGAGGGCAGAACTAAAGAAGGAAAGAGATGTGGGGAGATGAGGCCAACCAGATGAGCCCTGTGTCTCCCATGTTAGTCAGATACAGAAAAGGACACAGACTATGGCGTAGGAAATGAATTTAACACACGGTCCTGCTCTAGAGTGAGTGACGTCTAGTGTCCTCCCTGGTCCCATAATGCAGGGAAGAGAAATTCCAGCCATCGAAGCAAAGTCATGATGAAAACTAGTGCAGAGATGTACAGAGAAGCCCTCGGCTCTCTGGGAGGAAGTGGACAGATAAACTCAGATTGGAGCTGGAAGGATCTCAAAAGTTTAAGAAAACAGGGACTTTTAGGGTAATGGAATTCTAAAGCCAGGAGGAAAAGCTCCTCAGAATCTCCAAATGCGTAGCTGGGTATAATGGCCCATGCCTGTAATCCCAGCATTCAGAGACTGAGGCAGGAGGATTATTGCAAGTTCAAGACCAGCCTGAACTGCATAGCAAGATCCTGTCTCAAATAAAAAAAAAAGAAAAGAAAGAAAGAAAAAGAAAACACTCCATATGTAGAAGCTCTATGTTCATCAGTCTTCTAATACCCACAGAAGAAGACAACCCTGCTTCTAAGAGCACTTAGTTGATTGGTGGCTGGTCCTAACTGTCACAAACTTTTTCCTTATTAAGATTGAATCATCACCCACCAAAATGTATTCCTGTCCCCTAAATTGGCCCTCTGGATCCTTGCCCAATGGAACCAGCCTGGTCAATTCAATTCTGTATGAATCTGAATACCACTGCCCTTCATTTCCCTTCTCCAAAGTAAAAGCTCCCAGTCTCATCAACAGGTCCCTGTACGGTGTGATTTCCAGGATTCTCCCATCACTCTGGTGGCCTCTAGTACATCAAGATCAGATCTCTGCAGCCAAAGGACATGGATGTACACTCAAGCAAGATCCTGTAGCTAGCGCTAGAGGTCAGGCTCAAGGGCCAGTCCAAGGTCCAGACCTTGGCTCGCAGTTTAAATGTCCCACTGTGGCATCAAGAAGGAGAGAGGCAGGCACAAATTCAGCTGAGGATGCCATGAAGTTTACTGCTCCACGCTAGGATCTGGGCTTTCCCAGAGTCCAGGCAGTTCTCAGCCTCTGGCTGGTGACTCAATACACTGCTCTGTCCCCAAGAGCTGTGAGATGCCTTGCTAGTTAACTTGTTAATAGTTCTAGAGTACTCAAGGGTGTGGAAGGTCAGTGATTATTTATAAACTACAGCAGATTCAAGGTCATTCAATATCTTCTTTACTCTTATCCTTGTGTTCCCTTATTTCTCCAGTGCAGGATGAGGATTAGAATTACCCTAACATAGTTAGAATTGCACAGAATCCAGAGCCTATTATAACTGTACCCTAGATGGTGAGCTCTACTTGAAAAGATCATTTGTCATGAAATGTCTCAACAAAATACAGCACACAGAGCTTACATGGTCTCTTACATGGGATCTTGAGTGAAAATCTCCAAACCCCTGGAGATCAAGCACTGTAGGCTACATGCTTCTGTCTCAAGTCAGGATTGCATTCTCTGGCAGGCATTTGAGGTTATTAGCAAGGACTTGAGTGCTGAAGAACATGAGTAAATTAGACCCCAGAAGGCTCCAAACCTTGTCACCTCGTCACTCAAAGGTGAAGACATTTTACAATTATGACGCCTAGGGGAAAAAATAGTTTCTAGATGTGGTGCCTTTTATACTTCCTGGAGCTTGGCACTGGGCTTCCATTAGTTTCTTTTGAAAAAAAATCTCACGATAGTTTAAAGTCAGTTTATAGATTAGTCACTAGTACTCCTGAGTTTTCTCAAAGGTGCTACAGCCAAGGGAGAATTTCTCTATTTCCATATGACACTGATTTTCTGAACAGACTTATAGAGGTACAATTGACATACAATAAACTATACAAATTTGGTTAATAATCATATTACTAAGTTTTTGTTGGATAGTTGAACAGAACTGTTTTCAGGCCTGCTGTTTAAATGTCCACTTTGTATGCTTCACTTTTGTAACTTGAACAGCATATAAGAGGATAATATGTAATTTATCAACTGGTGACTTCTTACTGTTTATCTTTTTTGAAATTATGTACTATTTCTACCCTTTTTGGTTTTTTTTAATTAAAATTTTTTTGGAAATTAAAAATAAATAAACTATACATATTTTATACATATGCTTTTAGGCTGGGTGTGGCAGTGCACATCTGTAATCCCAGCACTCAGGAAGCCAAGGCAGGAGGGTTACTGCAAGTTCAAGGCCAGGCTGAACTACATAGTGAAGCCTGGCCATGAATGTGTAACTCAGTGGGAGATAGCATGCTTATCATGCACAAGCCCCTGAGTTCAATCCCCAGCATCCAAAAAAGTATTAGATCTCTCTTACTGTAGGAGAATATCTAAGATAATCAACTTTTAGAAAGGAGAGTTGGGCTCACAGTTTTGGGGGTTCAGTTCATGGTAGATTGGCTCATGCCTATGACAGCACATCATGGGGAGTGCCTGACAGAAGAAACTCCTCACCTCAGAGCTGTTGGGAAGCAAAGAGAGAAAAAAGGAGGAGACAGCGTCCCAATTGCCCCTTCAAGACTACACTCCCAATGACCTAAAATCCTTTCACACAACCCACGTCCTAAGGTTCCACCACCTCCAGTAGAGCACAGATTAGGAGCCAATATATACCTCTTTGCAAGACTTTAGAAATGTACACTACATGATTCATTCAGCCCCCAAAGCTCCTATCCATTTCACAACGCAAAATGCATTCAGTCTGTTTCCTGGAGTGTGTACCCTACATAGGTGCTGGTCAGTGCAGCTGCCCACAACACCATCATCAATAGAGTGAACACACCCTCATCCTCACAATTCTCCCTTGACTCTGAGCTGTTTAACTGAGTGTACAGCCTTCACCTTTATCGCTATTTGGCTGCTTTCAGTGTAGCATTCCACAGTGCCAAGAACATCTTGAATATTTAGTGCGTCATCTGGTGTTACGCTGGTGGGCTAAGCTTAGAGTTGTGTGCAAATCTGAGAGCCTATCTTAGGTTGGGAAAGGAGAAGGAGAAGCAGATGCTGTCCCTGGGAAAACAAGACACAGACCAGGAATACAGACTCAAGGCAGGAAAGAAAGGGAGGAGAAGCAGGGAAAGATCTGGAGACTGAAGAGTTAGAAGCAAGCCCAGTCCTTCTGGCTGTCACCAGCCACTGGTCACTTGTAGCTTCTTGCTTGTCTGTTCCAGGGCCACCCATCAGAGAACAACCCTACACTGGGAGTGCTGTAGTATCTTTCACCCAAAATGATTATTTTAGAATATTCTAGGATACCACCTTCATATTTTTATTCATATGCATGTCTTTCAATCTAGGGGATGTGGTCAAGTTTGCATCTACTGAGCAAAAGTATTACACCATACATTTGCATTCAGTTTTACTGTTTTAAATGCTAAATACATAGAGCTGAACATACAGCTCAATGCTAAAGCACACGTCTACCCCACATGATGCAGGCCCTTTGTCCAATCTAACAATCTACCCAAATTTTAAATTAAAAAGTTTAAACCAGCATGGTGATACACACCTATAACCTCAACTACTTGGAAGGATCTCACTTTTGAGGCCAACTTGGACAACTTAGTGAGACTTTGTCTCAAAATTTTAAAGAAACAAATTTTTAAAGAATAGATTTTAAGCAGGGTATGATGGCTCACACCTGTAATCCCAGCACTTGGGAGGCTGAGGCAAGAGGATCATTGCAAGTTCAAGACCTGCCTGGGCTACATAATGAGCTCAAGGCCAGCATGAACTGCATAGTGAGACCTTGTCTCAAAAAGGACAAGAAGAGAAGAAGAAGAAGAAGAAGAAGAAGAAGAAGAAGAAGAAGAAGAAGAAGAAGAAGAAGAAGGGCACTTGCCTAGCAAGCAAAAAGTCATATAACATACACACACACAGACTACAAATTTTAAAAATAAAAATAAATTTTAAGCATACGTAAAAACTCTAGGCATAACAGAAGTTCTTTTTCATTGTTATAATCATTACTTCTTACCTGCTTAAAATATGGAGTGGCACAGGGACTGGACACATAGCCTGTGGCCAGCAC